ACCACGAAATGACCGGTCTGCCTGCACTACCGACACAGCCTCAGGCTGCTGGGCAGAGCTTGGACTGCCGGTCGGCGTCACGCAGCCGCAGCCGCAGCCGCTGCCGCCCCGGGCGCAGCAGGGAGCCAGCTGTCGCAGGACCGCTGTAACCTGTTGCTTCGCAGGGTAAGAGATCGCTTGACAGATCGAGGCTCGGATTGGTCACTCAGGGTCCAGCCAAGTGTCCTGTGACCTCGGTCACACCGTAGCCGCAAGGTGATTGGATAACAGCAACACACATGAAGGATGATTTCATGGAATACAAGAATGCGTTTAGGGCGCGGTAGAGACTCCTGACCCGTTAAAACTGACAGCGGAACAAGGAAAACTTGTCGGAGTGGCCGGAAATGCTTGAAATGTTAAACACAAGGGCGGTCGCCTGAATAGGACGCACTCGGGTGGCAATTAATTCGGCCTCACTGAAGCCTAGAAAAATAGCAGGGATGGAGGTGCGAGATCATAAGACGGGGTGAGATGTCGTGAGAGTTTACTTGGGAAGAATTTCCAGACATCAGCATGCAAAGCTGAAAGTGTGATTTCAGCAAAATGCGATCTTTGACTTGGCTCAGTGGGTTCAATAAACAACATGAGACCTGTTACCAATCGCAGGATTTTGTTAAAGACAATTTTCTACGCGTGCCCTTTTGGTCAGCAAAGGTTGGCGGCACATTTGGCTGAATTCTCAAAACTGCTTTTTGACTTGCAAATGCTGGAAATTATATGGACGCATGACAATTTTAAAGACAATATCGTGCGACTACATTTTCGGCAGGTGTGGTTAATTTAGGTACTTTAGTCTTTAAAACTTAAGACGATTTGTAATTATGCTTTGATGGCACTATGATCTGACTTCGATCTGCTGAAAGCCAGCCCTAATAATTATTCATGTGATTGCCTTGTAAAATATGTCGTTCAGCTTTCTACAGATGCGCGAAGTTTGACTTTGCTGCGCGTGCCGTGCGTGCCGCGGGCGCGTTGCGGACAAACACGTGGTCTGAAAGGCGCCTGAAGGGGCCTTCGCTGCTCTCTGGGTGTACTGGAAGAAGGATGCATCAAGTTCACGGAAATATCTGCGCACGGACTGTTTGAGGGGGAAAAATCAGTTCTTTCATATTCTTGTGACAAGTTTGTGATTGCAAAGATTGCAAGCAAAAAACTGCTGCTATTTGTTTAACCTAGAGATTTTATGTAAAAGCGGAATACTTTAACATGTGAATGACTGCTTCATGTACTGTGCATGTCGATCCAAGGTACCAAGGTAAAACCAATAAGGGTGCTGGGTGTTACAGTGGCATGACAGTCTAGCAAGGCCGACCATGTCAGCCCACACTGTATGCCGCTCACGCTAGACAGAGCTTGGGTTTTTTATATGGTAATTTCTTGGTACAGATTGACAAGCCACGGGTGCATATCTTGTGGTCTTTCCAGCGATTTTATGAAAAAGAGCAACCAAAAGGAAAGTTTTTACGCAGGCTAGAGCTTGGCGGTTGGCCCCTCCGGCGCGTGTGGTTCTGCCCCACTGCTATTCATTCTCGCTCGTCCCAAAGCGCTGAAATGATCATTTCTGGTCGAAAGGAGTTTAATCCAAGCACTAGCCGTGTTTGAAACTTACATCAATGCAAACATGGGCGGAGATAAATCCATAGCATGGTTAGAAGTCAGTTGGAAATCCCTATGCTTCCAAACTCGTGCTCACGTACGGCAGACACGAATAACTCGACGACTACATTTGTCATCGCCTTGAACGCCCTATGGCCAATGGGGTGGCAGTATTTGAGTAATACTTTTACTGCGTCATGTATGCCATTGGTGATCTTGAAATAGTCCGCACGAGATGGTTTGCAAAAATTCGTGAGCGTCTAACTAAAAAACAAAGGGTTTTAAATCCCAAAAGGGCAGGGCTGTGAACCGCATCAAATAATTTTCAAACATCTATCCCGGTTTAAATATCTTTACACATGTGCAACACTCCGCTCAAGCAGCTATTTTGATAGATCCGACAAGAAACGATGCGTCTTGCTCATATGTATGCAACTGTTGGTTTACAATTCGGGACCAAGTTATGTCCTTGTCTCACTCCGTTCTCTGGCAAATGATTAGAAATATTAGTGGCACCCGTGAAAACTTCATTCACCAGACACCATGCTTACAGTTAAAGTTATTCTTAGTCTGTCCTACACATTTGCAGTTGTTAAAACTGTTGGTCGCAAACGTGCTCTGACGTTAGTTCATACCAACGAGTTAGTGCTGCACATGGTTGCAATTTGCACTGGTTTTGCAACGTGTTAAACGCACGGGATTGCTTATTCCTAATGCAGATCGTGTTATTTGCAGGTTAAACCGATCCAAACTACAACCTGTGGCCAGAGCATTACCAGAGCATCAGTTGTACTGAAATTGCATGCATGTTGAATGGCATTGTGTTATGTCTATTTTAACTTTACTTGCAAGTACAAGCAGGATTTGCAAAGGTGTAATGTAAGCCTTGCAATTTTCTTATTACCAATGGACCTGCTTCAGGACCGTCAAGTGTCATTAAAATGAGTAATATGTGACGGTAAAGGGGCGGCAGATAGTGTAATGTTTTCAACCTGTTCCAAGTTAACAGCGTAAATTATGAACATGGGGTAACTTATTTTGATATGGTCTGTTTCAAGCTTGTTTTAAAAAGTTGGGCATCCTCACATAAGTAAACTGAAAAAGTTGTTCAGAAATTGTATAACGCAGCGTTGCATTCCGAGGGATTCTTTGATAAAGCTAAGAAACATCCAGTATTTTTTATGACAGTTCGTCAAAATTTTGCGAAGAGTCTTTATCTTACAACTCTAAACTTTGTGAATGTACCTTGGAGCGAGAGGATCTTTTGGAAAAAAAATATAGATCAACTCTGTATTCCAGACGATTTGCTATCAAGGATTCCCGGTCGTCTGTGCCTCTTGTCCTCGTCAGCATGGCTAACACTGAGAACATAGTCAAGCCTCTGCAAAAACACTCCTTTCAGCTGCGAGGGTGGGGACAATCAGATTATGCATACGTTTGGTCAGCAAAGACGATGGCTGTACCATAGCTCTAAGGAGGAGCGGATAGACATGCCAGTGTGCAAAGTATGAGCTGGAGCTTCTCCGTGCCTGTAATCTCGCCGATGTTCTATACCGCCTTTCGGACGTTGTTGCGTTTTCAGTGGAGAGACACATGTCTCAACTTCATGGAGACCGTCGAGTCAGGTACGTGTGACTATAATGGCTCATGTGCGTCCAATGTGAAACAAACCAAGATGCCGCACGCATGGCTTTATTATCGGGGCAGTGAAGGCGCTTAAAATTTCGTGTCATGTCTGTCACTGAACTCTTGTCGCCAATAACTGATAAGAAACCCGCTATAGGTTGATAGTAGATTGATGTATATAGATAGTAGATTAAAACCCGCTATAAATCGTTTAAAGAAACATGCATTATACATTAACACGCGCTCGGGTGAGAGACGAAATTGACCCCCGCAAGTTTTCCTGGAATGATTTCCATACAGCGTGACGTAGCCACACCAAACTTTCATAGCTGTGGAGAACTGGAAAGCGGATACTTTGATGTGAAAAATTAGATGTACCTTGCAAGGTCGCTAACCTGCGGCAGGTCGAAGTCAGGCCATGGCTGTCAGCGAAGGGCATCTCTTGGGAGTCGTTCATCATTATGCGAAAACAGTGTTAGACGAAGCCATACATGTCTGAAGTAATTTGTTAGATAACAAACAAAGTTGATTAAAATTACAACCGATCCCATTGATACAGAGTCAGGTATTGAGGTAAGAACGAAGTCAAAAACAATCTGCGCTTTTACTCGAGAGCATGGCTATACCGGGTAGTTTTCTATATATTATAACTATATAATAGCTATATAATAGCTATAATATATTATAGCTCATTTCGCATTTATTAATGACAGGGACTGCAACAGGCATGTTCCATGGACATCTTTAAGGTCAGAGTAGGTCACTGACCTAAAATGACTCAGACCAACATTTTGTTTTAGTGACATACCGTCTAGTGTAATCCCTGACGCTTATTTTAATAGCAAAATAGTAGCAATCACGTAGGCGTTTTGGCAACTTGACCTTATTAAGATCAGAAGAGGTCACTACCTCATTGACCTTGTGGCTAGAACAAGTATCTAGCTTCACGGTGGTTGATTGAGAAGTTCTAGGGGCACTTGGACACCAATCTGAAGATTGAACTTGTTTGATTTTATTTGACCCAAAGATCCTCCCTAGAAACTTCAAATTTGGACCTAAGTGAGTTCACGTACAGATCAATCCACATTGTGAGCTTAGTGTCTCTGGCTATCTTGGTTTCCGAGATCTCAGGAGGTCAAATTGACCCTCCACCCGAGCGAAGGGTATTCAGTCAGCCACCCGGGCGCGTTGTGAACACGCTTAAGCCATTTGCTCAGCTCAGGTACAATGCACTTGCAGCAAAGGGTCAATCCCTTCATTTTGACTATCTGTGCGCACGGCACTACGCTGCATACTGTCTTTTATACCCAGGTTTCTGCCAGAATTATATGCATATATATATATATATATATATATATATATATATATATATATATATATAAGCCATCTTGCACTAAAACCGAATTATCTTACCCATGCCTTCGCTTAACTGACTGCCTGCTTGGGCGGCACAGCTGTGTATTAAAACATCTGTGGACAGTTTTGCCTGTCACCCTTTTGCAGGTTAAAGGTAATTTTCGAGTGTAATTTCGGCATCAAAGGAGGTGATTAATTCGCTTGTATGGTGTAAAGTGACGTCACGCAACCCAAATCCGTGAGTTCGCGAGTTTAAAATGTTGGCAAGGTGAGAATCAAAAACAGCGAAAATCATCATGGCATTATTACTTTTATTATATTTCACTACATCCTTAGACAACTATCTTGCACAATCGGACTAAACGAACATAATGATAGGCAAGTGCATTTCGCTCCTTCTGCTGGTACAGTGAAACGGCGTCGTAAGCAACGACATACCGTGACTACCAAATATCCCAAGGGATGTAATTCTAAAAATATGGATCGGATTGACTGAAATTTTATCGGTTGATTTTGGGCGCTAATGCTTAAGTAAAAGGCCACGACAGAATGATAGAATGTAAGGGTCGAGAGCGCGGTGGTCCGGTCGATCTGCAGTGGTGCACCCCTGGCTGCGAGCGTTCGGTCCCATGTCCCTGGTGACACCACCGGACCGGAGCGGTGTCACACTGCTTTCACCGAGTGGTGCTACTGGTGACTCCGCGCTGGTGATGCGGCGATCAGGAGACGAAGCGCTCGGTGAAGGAGACTCGCTGGTGACACGAGATGGTGGAGCGGTATCCCTGGTGATACGGACCGAGGAAGCGGTGTCGCTGGTGACACGAGCTGGTGGAGCGGTATCACTGGTGATACGGACCGGGGAAGCGGTGTTACTGGTGGCACGAGCTGGTGGAGCGGTGTCACTGGTGACACGGACCGGCGGAGCGGTGCCACTGGTGACACGAGGCGGCGGATCGGTGTCATTGGTGACACAAGCTGGCGGGTCGGTGTCACTGCTGATACGGGCCGGCGAAGCGGTGTCACTAGTGACACAGACCGGTGGAGCGGTGCCGCTAGTGATACGGACCGGCGGAGCGGTGTCACTGGTGACACGGCCGGCAGAGTGGTGTCACTGGTAACAGACAATATCAGGAGCGAATACCCCGTCAGCTTTGCGTGGGACAGCTAGCCTTCATTCTTGGTCCTCCAGCCTAAGGCTGCAGAAGAAGCGTCGCTCTATTGCGCAGGATGCCGGGCGCCACCTCCTCTGACGTGTGGCGAGAAGAGCGCACTGGCGTCCGCTGGTGCCAGCGGTCGCTACCCTGACCCCGTTGGTCGCTCCCGGGCCCCCAACGGTTGCTGAGTCTTCCTCCCAATGCTCGAAGGTGAGTGGACTGCCGTCAGACCAGCCCCAGATCAGCTGACCGTTTTCGGAGGGCTGAGCCGACAGCCCGATCCAGACAGAATCCTCGCCGGCTCGCCGCACCTTGGTCAGCATGCCTGCCATCTGTCGGGAAAAGTACTTATTGTTAGTGTTGCGAATCGACTTGAAAAAGCATTTTGCACTGGCTGACAATCGTGCGATCTGGCGCATGAACGTGTGGAGTTTCCATTTTATGCGTTCAGCTCATGAGACGGAATTTGAGTGCAGGACGTATGATTCAAAAATTTGACACACAATGTTGCCATGAAGCATCAGCTTAAGCATAGCACTGTCGTGCTGATTGCTGACCTGGAATGGGTCTGGGATGGATGCCAGATGCGAGCCCGGCTGCAGCTTGTCGCAGTGAGTCCGAGCAGCCTCCCATCCCAAGCGGTCCTCAGCCAGGAGAAGGCAGTGAGGGCCGAAGCGGAGCCAGCCTTCTGGACATTCTGTCGGAGGCTCGAGCTCGAGCTCAAACGTTTTCAGAGGCCAGCAGTGGGTTGACGCCAGCAGACCTAAGGCCAGGACCAGCAAGACCGACCTGCCACCTGTCGGCAGCCAAAACAAGATAATGTCCTCGCACAAATTTCACATCCAGTCATTTATGAATACATGGCGTCGGCTTAAATCTACTCGGCATTGCGTTTCTCTAAATATAAATTGTGAACCTAGTGGAACATACATTAACCAAACCAGAATCGTTTTTGCAACACAGAGGAAAGCAATATCAAACCTGTCGCCACCCTAGAACTCGATGAAGCCTTATTCAGACAGTATCCGCCGCAATGATTACCGATGAGAGATATCGGAGCTCTCCCAACAGATCGCGTTACTCATCACAGCCGGATCATAGCGGTGTGTACCGATGATCCAAGGATAGCAAAACACTGCTTAAACCCAATGTTATTTGAAATCGTAGCGGGTATCCTGTTGGTCATGCGGTGGGTGCTTTCGACTGAAGCTTGGCTTGAAACAATAGCCTAAGCACCCCTCGAAGGCGTAAAGAGCATGCGTGTGCACATTTTCTTAAGAGCAGAGGCTACGATTTGAGGGACAGGTAATGACCACGGCAAATGTAGTGGTCCCGATGACAAATCCAGGATTCGTCAAGGGGAGGCACGTAACATTGCGCCCCCTCCCCCCAACCCATCGAGATCGGGACCTTTTTAAAAAAACCCTTAAACTTCAGCCATTAGATGGGTTATCTTGTATACGGGAGATCATCTTCCTGTGCGCAGTCCCAAAGCACTATTCGTGGTACGTATGTCTGTACCTAAATGGAGGCGTCCATTTTCTCCAGATCATGGTGGATTGAGTCATTTTAAGGTCAAGCGTTTTGGAGAAGACACCTCGAAATGAGCTGAAGTTGGTTGCTAAATGCTTTTGGAATCAAGCACGATGCTTGCTTTCAGGGTGGAATACAGTCACCCAGTTTCCAGTTCCAAAACATGCTAAGAGGTGGTCATCCGTGATCATTCCAGTTTCGAATGGTGTTAAGAACGTTTGCACGAGCATAATGACCGTTGCTTCTTAAATACCCAACGAAAACTACACACTGAATGTCGGCGGCGCGCAAAATAATATCATAGAATTGCGTGCAAAAATTCATCGAAACACCTCTGACTGCTTCTCGACGACTAAAACACCAAGGAAAACCGTCATTGTGCAGATATCGTGCTTGTGCACATGTCACTAATTTAGCCAGGCCAGGACACACGAGCACGCGAAACACTCTGGCATTCGCAAGCTAATGTGCGGCTTTCGTTGGCAACAGAGGTGTTTTGACAGCCCCGGAAGAGCCCACGACCAATGTGGTAGGCCCCGGAGCGGCGGAGAGAGCCCTAGCCGAATAACATTTACGTTCCTTCGACGGTGTAGGCCCTACGACGAAGTGGCAAAGCCCAGGCGCTGGGGGATCAGGAGTGCCCCATAAGGTTAACATATAGGGCTCTGGCCAGAGCGCAGGCTCCTTCGAGTAAACAGGAAGAACCCAAAGAATGGATGCCCTTGGGCGATCGAAAGGACCTCGGCAGATGAACGTAAACGGCCCCTGATAACGGCGTAGGTCCTCCGAGCGAATGTAAAGTGTCCAAGGCGATTGGGACGGGCCCTATGCGATCAAGAGTGTCCGGGCAGGTTGACAGAAAGGGCCCCGTCAAAAGTGAAGGGGCCTCCGCAAATGTTCCTAGACCATTGTGGAGGGTGCCTGAGGGTCGAGGAGTGCCTCAGTACGTTAACTTATAAGGGGTCCCGTGAACAGGGCAGGGGCCTCCGAACAAGTGAGGAAATAACCAGAGGTGCCGTTTTTTTAAGTTCCATTGCCCAATCCCAAATCCCAGGAGGGACCAGCTGTCCGTCCAAAAAGGATGCAAAAGATAGGCTAATTGAGAATTTCCTTTTCGAATATCAGATAGCTACTACACTCAACCAATAACCCCAGTCACTCCTCGGGTCGTTGCATTCCCTTCCTCGAATCGAGTGAAGGGAAAGAGATTGGTTTCGGATAAGAAATGTGTATGACAGGCGCGGGTGCAAGCTTTCGTGAAGCATCCACAATTCACAATTCACATCGATGTTCGCTCAGCTTAACTTTCATTAAGTGCGACGGCGGCAACTTAGTCGGATGATGGGTGGTAACGAGTTGTAACTCGGTAAGTGGAGAGTGTCGCGGGATCTCCCAAAGACATGAACAGCAATGCTCTTTCTATTGATGCACTTCACTATCAAACTTTTTACCTCTTGTTTCAAAAAGGAGAAGTTTCTAGTGTGGGCGTTATAGTGTGTTCAGGCGCGTTGTTAACGACTTGTTATGTTCCAGAACAAAAATATTCCGAAAACACCCAGCAAGTTCAGATGCATACCAATCTGCAAAACGGCAGCATGATGTGGGCTATCCAAAAACACAAGGATTTTTGCCGCTGTCTGTTCAATGTCCAAATCGGGCTTCAGAAATTTTTGGAATTCCAAAAATTGAGATACCAATCGACACCTCTACAAAGAACCTGAGACTAATGTGAAGGGCCCCGGAGGAACCGAGAGTGCACCGGCAGGTTAACATATGGGGCCCCGGCTATGGCGTAAAAAGCATCTCGGGCAAATGGGAAGAATCCGTGCAGGACTCTTGACCGATCAAAAACTCCCTGACAAGTAAGCATATAGGGTCCCGACAACAGCGTCGTGCCCCTGATCAAACACCAATAAATTTAGGGCAGCGTGGATCGCGATAGAGATCGCAAGCAGGTAAAGCCAGTGAGTGGATGTATAGGGCTTCCAGGATCAGCGTGGGATCTCTGGACAGCGTGATAGGCCTTAACATCACCTCAATCATTTCCCCCTCAAGCAGCGAAGAAGAATTATTTTCGCTCATGAAGCTCCACGATCGCTCCCGACCGTTCTTGGTCGTCTGGAGGCAAGAAGACATCCGATTTTGTTGCGTCGTGTGTTTATAACTGCTTCCGTTCGGCCGGTTACGGGCCTCTTCGGAGCCTACAGGGGTCTAAGGAAAGTTCGCATGGCCAAAGCTCTCGCCCCTCTGGATCTGCCACGGAGTCGTCCAGCGGATCTATTCGTCTTTGGTAGCAAGTTGGATTATGAACTGTGCAATTTGCAGGCGCATGCACACCTTCTCTGATTCTCTCATGTCTTTTTTGACCATGATTTGGCCTGTCATGAGAGTGCATCCCAAAATCCGGGCGCAATTCTAAATGATATTTGATAGTCTCTCGTATTCAACAAGTCAATTCTCATCAACAATTTGAATTTACTGTGAGGCTGATAGAACCATGGTAAGTGATCGATTACATGTGTTGAATGATTAGTTATCTACCCACCTCTCGATTCATCCCTTGCATGTTCAACGCTAACAGGGGACTGGTCTGTTGGTAGAAAAACGTGCTTGCGGCAGGCGCGAAGTCTCGCAAAATTAGCTGGCGGAGCGGTGAGCGGTGAAAAATGACACAACCTGCCCTTAAAATGCCCTAAAAAACGCAGCCTCTTCACTCTCACTTTTCACTTGGTCCACTGTCTTCTCAAAGTTGTAGAGAGCGCCCAAGTTTGGTAGACTGCCTACCCCTTTTCCCCTTCCAACTGAACGGAGAACTAAACCCCTGCTCTGCAGGCTGTTCTCAACCTGACCCCCAACGCTGGATGATGGCAGACACACAGGGAAGAGGCCTTACCGCCGTTGTGTGCCATGGCCGACGGACGTGCTGGCCTTCGAGGCGCGGCTGGCAGATGCTCGGCTCGAATGGCCGACGACGGCTCCCCGGGGACCGTCGCGCTGGGAAAGCGTCATGTGTTGGCGCGGTGCACATCCTTGTCGACGGCTGGCTTCGATAGCACGCTCTGACGGTCTCAGGCGTGAGCGCGATAGTGGAGATGTGTTAGACAACCCCGCCCTTGTCGTTTACTTTAGATACACTTGCTTTGGAAATTACGCGTTTAAAGGGACAAATTTGGACGGCCAATGGCCTACAGTAAATGTTGCACTTAAAAACCCCGCCGGGCTCAACCACCGTCGCAGTCTCGTAACCACTGGATGCTCTAAGACTCACAGGCTTTTATACTATTAGGCTTTCATACCCTAATGCACTCTAGCCCCAGTCGACTTATAAACACCGCTTGGTAATAAACGCTGTTCTGTGTTCCCACTGTTAACTCTCACGTATTTCACAATAAGCTATTCTATAAGCAATTGGCCGAAAGATTCCTTTGCATGTGGGGGTCATGCACCATCGCGTTGAGCTATCTCACCATTTTATCCACTCCACCCTTGCATCGAGACGTCGTGCCTTCACATCTTCTTACGTCATTTTAGGGGGTGTCAGCGGATGTCACATCCATCATTGTGACCGGCCGCGATTAGCTCTGTGTCAAGGGAGCATTTTGACAAAGCAGGTCAGGACTACCAATGCGAGATTTCCATTGCCGGCCGATCGTAAACCCACAATAATGTCGTCATGGCAAGGCTACGCCTTCCGCGCACAAGTAAAAGCATGACACATTGGACACGGTATGAGGCAAATCCACTGCTTGCGCCGGCCCGCCAGCACTAGGCAATACGGCATCGGAAGTCCAACCCAGAAAAATCAAACTCAAAATGTGACGAGCGTGGTGTATTAGCAGGTGATAACTCTATACCAGCACTATCAAATGCACTCAGTCGCATCCCCCTGCTTTCCTTGCAAGCATTTTTCCATGTCGGTGCGTGACGGCCAGCAGCTGGTAGTCCTGCGCTGTCAACGGTGATTTCAACAAAAAAGGTTATGTCTACTAATGCGAGTTTTACGTTGCGGGCCGATATCGTCCCCACGATAACATCGTTACGGAAGGTTGCACCTGCCACGCACAATCAGAGGTATTTTACAATGGAAGCTGTATCTGTGCAAACTGCCGCCGACATTAGCTCTGTGCCGTCAAGAAATGATTTGAACAAAACAGGTCATATCAGCCGATGCAAGATTTATGTTGCCGGCCGATAGCGCTTGGAAAAAAATATCGTTGCCACAAGATTGTAACCATCCCATCCTAGGTTCCCTACCGGCTGCCATTCTGGTGATACGCGGACAGTTGCCCGGTGGTCGGGACGGAGAGCCTCGGAGGGGCACATCATACACCGGTTCGCTCCCTACTGCGTCAAGCCCTCTGACCGAGACATATGGTACGGATCTATATAGGGGCTCCTATTCATATAAACAGATCCCTTACTGGCACAGGGAATCCAATAACTGGTACCGAGACACCAGTTGTGCTTATCGGCCGATGCAGAGGGCCCCTCGCTAGGTATTTCGGTCTGTGGCTGACACAGGGCCTTACACTGTCATATTGTAAATTTGAACCGTTGCATCTTCATTTCTCATATCTCCTTTCATTGTTAAAAGGGCCCCGACCATTGCAAGAAGCCCTTTGACATTCGAAACCCATCTCGGGCCCTTTTCAGCGAATATGACTCTAGCCGAATTGGGGCTCACTGCAGACACAGGGACCACTGTCAGGCACTTTGGCCGGGCTAACAAAGCGAGCCCTTCACTGTTTCAGAAGCTTGAGCAATGCAAGATGCCTTCTGATTGGCATTTGGATGCTCAGGCCATGCGAGCTAGCCCTCGGCCTTGCTGTGGACGGGGACGCACTCTGATCAATGTTGTTAGCCAAGGCAACAGCCTCCCGCCCCAGAGACACGAGGCTCCACGCCGAGCAGCTTGTTGCGAGGCCGAGGACACATCCCATGAATTATCTGTCCGTCGGCAACGCCACACTCTGATATCGGCCGACATAGCCCGGTATCGCCTCGGCGCCCGTTCTTGGCCTTTATTGTGCAACACATTGTTTGGTTTTCAGCATGGTGACATGGGACGTGCGCCGAGCCCTTCAGGCAACACGCCATGCACGACGATCGCGCGGTCCCAGTCTCAGTCGCTTCAAACCCCGT